AAGCAATCTTATTGGTTGTTATTTGTAAATAGGCGTGGCTACATTAGCCCGGTTATGTTTAAAAGGAGCTTAAGCTCCCGCTGTTTTCTGTTCTGGTTTCTTACTGAGTTGAGTGCTTGTTCGTTACTTCCAATAAAGCTGAATCACTTGCTGAATCACTCTAAGAGTCCTTTGTTAGCGCGATCTAACAAAACCAGTCAGTAATGGCCAGCAGCACTTCTTCAATGAGGTATGACAGAGATCACCAAGAAATCTGCATACATTCTATCAACAAGCCAAGCTACAAGAAAAGAGCAGCTTTTTAATCAGACCACGTTTTGAGATAAACAAGGCAGAAATGTTTGGTGCTGACAATTCTTGGTCATCTGTTTGTCCTTTGGAAAGTAGATTTTGATCTCCCAAACCCAACACATGCTTGAACTGCCTGTACATCAGGCATGAGACGTTTGCACATTTTGTTCACTACATAGCATTCAAAGCTGCTCTCTCAGCCTTCCTGGGATCTGCTGGTATTGTGAAATAGAGCTGAATGTCATCTGCACATTGGTGGAGGATTAACCCAAATCTCCAGATGACCTCTCCCAGCAGCTTTACATATGTTAAAAAACTGGCCCAAAATGGTGGGATACAAATGCTTTAAAAATAAACAAACAAACAAACAGTAATTGTTTTTAATGAAAAGAATTAATTATATGACACATTTGTTTCCTAGGAACTGCAACCAGAATTCTACTCATACTACTGTTGTACCTTTCAATCCACTAATTTCCACCAAAAGCTGTTCCTGAGGGTTACAAGACTTTCCAGATAAGCAACTGATACAGCATGATAGAGAAAAACTCTGAGGAGAATCAGCAAAAAAAAAAGAGGTCTACCTCCTTGTCCAACCAAACATGAATTCCATTTGTACAAGAGGCTCTTTGAATCCAACCAAGAATAACAAAAATTCCTTGAATGTTTGTACACTCTAGAATCTACGATCAAGTTGCACAGAGTGGATCAGCAAGAGTTCTAAAGGTGCAAAGCATTCTATTAAAATAGGCACTGGCCCTGCACTAAACCTGAGATTTTGCTGGCTTTGCTCTATAAAAAACAAGTTATTGTTTAGAGACCAGAATGTCTTCATGGAGGCATAATTACTACTAATCAGAATCTGTGGATCTAACAACAACACTACTCACTGGCAGCACTGAAACAGAAGATACCATGTGACAGAAAGAACAAAGATCTCTAGAGTGTTTTGAATACAACTCCTTGACTAGGTTTACTGTACACAGGCCTAGAAGAATCAGAGGAAAAGAAGAATTTTTCAAGAGGAAATCATCATGGCTACTCACCTGTATTTTGTGCAGCTAGAGTTTGGACCTGAAGGGCCTTCAGGATTAAGAGTAACTTGTGGTGAAACCTGAGCGGACAGCAAAAATCCCAAAGCCAGAACAAGAAGTGCAAAGGTAGTGCCTACGATAGAGAAACAAGGCAGTTTAATTAATCAAGCAGAATTTGAACAATGCAAAAGTGTTTCTCTGGTACAAAAATTATCCTATGCAATTTAACTCATTTGAACTGTCTAAGCTCCCTGCAATAATGCCTCTCTCATAGGCAACTAAATCCTTAACAGCCACATCACCGGCCAGTTCTGGTGCACTCTCAGATAGGACCACTACCTGGTTAGCCCTGAACTGGATAGCCCAAGCTAGCCTCATCTCGGAAGCTAAACAGAGCTGACCCTGGCAAGTATTTGGATAGGAGAACACCTAGAGATGAAAAATTCCCGAAATTTTGAAGCTCGGAAAAACCCCCGGTTTTTTTCCGGTTTTTTTTGGGGGAAAACGGAAATTTTCGGAAAAATTGAAAAAATACTACATTAGCATTTCTTTTGTCTTTTCTAGATTGAAAGTCATTCTGTTACTTTAGGAACATAAAATATGACTATGGACATTTTTACTTGGCATGAAATTATCACAACTAGCATATTAAAAATATAGTGTATCCAAACAATTATTACAAACAGAATACCCATCCACATGCAAAAACAAACCTGAAACCTTTTTATTTTCTTCTGACAATAGCACCTCCTAAAGAAAGAAATGCATCTTGTTCTTGCATTGGAGAGTTCAGTTTGTAACCTAGGACTTACTTGTCCTCAGTGCATAGAAATTAGATCAATCTGATGTCATATATATATATATTTTAGAAATGATTTGGAAAATATTTGAACACCTTGTCTTAAAAGATTTTATTCATCATGTTAAAATAAAATGTTCCATAGTCAATTTATTTTATTTTATTTTATTTTTTCCATTTGCTAGTAGGCTTTCCCAGGTATTTTTTAACTCCGGATCTTTGGGCGGATGCTATGGGTGTGCTACGCTTGCTAGATGTGTCCTTGTGATCGCGCCCATATACTCCGCCTTGGTATTTTAAGCCACTTCCTTAAACTTACCAGCACTGAGATTTTTACTCTCACTGGGAATTCAAGGAGATTCTGCTCATGATACAACAACAGAGTTTAGCACTTCATACATCCTGAAAGAGCTCCTAAAACCCAGCAGGGAATACTTGGAACCTTAGTCACAACCAGCAGCAGAGTTGAGACTGGTGGGAAAGTATCTGTTGGGCTGTGACTAGCAAATGTCCAAAAGTGATCAAAGGGTTATCATATTTAAAACCATGAAATAACAAAATACTATATACTGGCTTTCAGTTAAGACTCATTTGCCAAGCAGAGGCACCTTGTTTTTGAGGAAAGGTATTTATATCCCCCAAGATGTCACAAACTAAATTGGATTTTTGATAGCTTTTCTCTTCCAACCCTGAAACATGCCAAAGCATGTTGAAGCACTAGAACATCTAGCTATTTAGCTTGCAATACGTTCTCTCTTAGTGAGCTGTGATAAGTGAAATCAGTCAATAACACTCCTCCTATACTTTTGAATGGGCTAAAAATTCAACATCCTTACTTTCAGAAAAACAACTAAGCAATTAATACATGAGAATTCTTCATTTTTGGCTAGAGATAGCATCACATATTTCAACAGGCTGCATGGTTCCAAATGGAGGAGGGAGTGAGGGATTAAGAAATTAAAAATAATAATCACTTAACAGAATGAAAGCAACAGAAGTATTCACTGATACAGAGATAAAAATATTATTTCTAAAATTGGCTTTATTAGTCCTGTGTGCTACTAGTAGTTCTACAGAGCACTGAGACCTGATATATATATATATATACTGGAATTGTATGTATGTATGTATGTATGTATGTATGTATGTATGTATGTATGTATGTATAATTCCAGTATAAAACAATCTGAAATCAGAAGCAGAACAGAATAAAATGTATGGATTTGAGCCTGAATTCTAAAGATGCTCTTCCATTTTCAGAAGGGCTCCTCCCATGAACAGAAAGGCACATTGATTTCAGTGCAACCTAATGTAGTAAAACAAATCTTGAGTTGCCACTGGACTCAAAATATGTTCTACTGCTTCATACCAACACAGCTGCCCCACCTGTAGTAAGTTTGACTTATGTATCTTATCACAACAAAATGTAAAAGGAAAGTGCAGATACTGCTAACATTTTAGTGCCAACTGAAGCCAGATAACCAAAGCAGATTATGTTTGCAACTATTTTTTTCAAATCACATTTGGATTTCAAGGATTATTTTGCTTTAACTAGGAGAGACATTTTAATATATGTTTTACATGAGGCTTTACCGATTATACCTTCTTTAATTTACTTTACCCCAAGGAGTTGAGAGGCTGTGTTTCTAATACATTTTATCCTAGCATTACAAGATACGTTAGTCAACAGATATGAGACTGCTGAAGACCATCCAAGTGCTTCACAGTCAGCCTGAATATCCCACTTTTAAACACAGTAATCTGAATCACACATATCTCATGTAACAGCAATATTTTTGCAGATTCCAGTTCAATTCACAGATAGAGTGTTTGTTTCCATTTTCAAACCTACTTCTTTTCCATAATCTGTCTTGATGCTACACACTGGATGAAGATTTCGACACAACAATTCCAATTTCAGCACATACCTGCTAAACTTCCAAGTGTGAGTTTCCTACGGCCCACTTTGTCAACCAGCCAGACTCCAACCAGAGTGAAAATGAAGTTAGTCAGTGCTGTCACTGCAGCAAGCCAAATTGCAAGCCGGTCATCTTGAACACCAGACATCTGCATAATGGTAGCACTGTAGTACCTGAAGAGGATGAAAATAAAAAAGTACTGCCATTGATCCAGGCATTATAAACTGCTGGCTTAATACATAAGTTTCCCCTCTGAACAAATCAATGAGGTAGGGACATGCATTTTGACTTTAAAGGGCACTAAGAAACTGAACAAGCAATCGTCAATAGCAGCTTTTAAATTAGAATTTATATCTCCACACATCTAAGTCAAATTAAAAGGATAAAAATGTGCATATGGATTAAAACGTTATTTACTTTTACATACCTTAAGGCTGTGGTCACACACAGACTAAATAATCCACTTTCAGTGCACTTTCCAACTGAATTTTACTTGTGTGATCTGGCAAAATCCAGTTGGAAAGTGCACTGAAAGTGGATTGAAAGTGGATTATTTAGGGTGTGTGACCACAGCCTAAAATAGCTTTTTACCCCTTGCATTCACCCAAAGTGAACTCGGCAGTTTATAATACAGCAATCTATTTAAATGGCACTCTTCGAGCTTCTGCACTGCATTAACTGCATTTAGATGTGGTGTGAAATAGATAGGAAAGTGCTCCTGTCAATAGTGAGAACTCTGATAGTTCATCACAGCCATACAAAGGCATTTCAAATTAACTGTGTTTGACAACTTACACCTAGAGTGTTCATGCTTTTGGAAAGTTTAGAATTGCAGCCCCATGGCTAGCCACATCAAATATTCGCCCAGACACAGCAAAAGCTCAGAGGAGATAATTCAAAATGAAATTCAAGGGCAGAATGATTCCCCTTGCCGTCAGCTGATTGCCACAAACTTTAGAAATTGCTCCAAAATTGCTGGCTAACAAACATGTCAAGTAACAAAACAGATTTATCTTTCTCCAAATAGAAGCTTCTTCCTGCACTTTGCTAAGAATTGTTTAATCAATTAAATGTGGTTTCCAAATACAAAAATCTTCCAGATTCCAATAAAGCAGTCAGCAAACAAAATGCCTTCCTACCTGAACCTATTTTCAATAAAACACTGTCTCATTGAACACCTAAATTTCATAATAAAAAAAAAAGAGTAAATTGCTCTGTTGAGTTTTAACTGGTGTATTTTATACCAAAATTTTACTAGGGGTCTTTAGAAGGACCGGTAGCCTTTGTTTTGAATGTGGTGGTATAAAATATATGTCTTCCCCCGACCCATATTTTTCTTTACCTTAGTCCTTCTCCTTTTGCTTACTGAACAGGGGTTTGGCTTCCAGTTCTGTTTATCTGTGCTTCTCACAAGGAAGCTATGAAAATACTCTCAAGCTCTCTAGAACAGGGGCTTCATATAATACTCCTGATAAAAATAATTGTTGTCCTCGGTGAAGCTGCTTCTTCAAACATAGCAAATGGAGAGCAACCTGGTCCACTACTGACAGTCAAAAGGTTCCTTGCCAGTAATCTTTTCAAATACCTAAATCTTCATTAATCTTCATTAACAACTTCATTAACAACTGAACGTTGGATGGATCCTACGGTTGAACATTTGTCCAGTGCAATGTGCCTTCTGAATGCTAGTGGAAGAACTTCTTGCATCAGGGGCAGGCGCTACCATTAATGGAACAAATCCATAGCATCCAATGCAGAGGTTCCAACTGACAAAGGTTCCACCTCTCAAAGGTACTTCTGTTTCTCAATGCAGCTGCTACAGTAATTTGTGACCACTAGAGGGAGCACATGTGCCAACAGCATCTTTCAGCAGCAGCAGAGACAGAACTGAGGAAAGGGTGCTCTGTCCCCTCTATGTCACACTGAGAAAGGCAGGAAAGCAGTGCCGGGGAGGGGTATGGAGTACCAGTAGACATTCTCTCTCCACCCGTGTGCTCATGTCTCTCTCTCTCTGCCTTTCACAGCTGTAGGCAGCCCAGTTCCTCCTCAGCCCAGTTCCTCCTCATCTGCCAGCTCGTCTCCCGTTTGTATTACCCCTCAGCCTCCTGCTCCCTCCTCTCTCTGGCTCCTCCCCCCGGTAAAGGGTTTGACGCCGAGGCCGGTGACTCCACCCATCCTCCTGGCTTTGCAGTCCAGCCTCGGTGTGCCATCCACGCCACAGCCTCTGCGCCTGCTGCCGCCGATACTCCCCAGTTCCTTGCGGCCCCTTCAGCCGGCTTCCATGCCGTAGAGCTTGGAGCAGCTCGGGCCCGCCCCCAAGCTGCGCCCTGGCTCTGCACCTTCCGCTGCTCCCTCAGGGCTCCCTCACCGCTGCCTCCGGCTTCGCTGCTGTCTCTGGTCTCCTCCGCGGCTGCCTCTCGTGCGTTCAGCCCTCCTCCAGGCTCCTCATTCCTTTCCCTGGTCCTCTGCATGAGTACGGTTAGCTGGCTGGCGAGCGGGTTCCCTCCATCTCCCGCTGGGCCCAGAAGCTCCCGGTCAAGACTGGGACAAGAACACTACTGTCGAGGTCTCAAAATTAATTAACCCTCCCTGGTCCCAAGGACGCCAGGCTCATTACCACCCTGAGCCTGCTCGCGGGGAGGGCGAGGTATAAACTGAAGTAATAAAATAAATAAATAAATTACCGCCAGGGCCTTTTTAGTGGCAGCTCCATACAGGTGGAATGAGCTCCCAGAAGAGATCAGGGCCTAGTGGGACCTTGCACAGATCCACAGGGCCTGCAAGATGGAACTCTTCCACCAGGCTTTCAACTAGGAGCCACCCCCACTATCACCACCAACTCTCGGCTGCGATGGCTGGCTTGTGTGAAGAACATTGAGAAACTGAAAAACTTACAAAAAGTACGCTGTCTTGTATAATTAACAAAACATTGACAGCACTTATTATTATTATTGTCGAAATTGAATTGTTTTATGTTGATTTTATCAGATTTTAATTGCTATCTATATATTATGTAATATGTTTTAATGAATGTAAGCCGCCCTGAGCCTGCTTTGCAGGGAGGGTGGGGTATAAGCTGAATAACAAATAAATGAATGAATGAATGAATGAATGAATGAATGAATGAATGAATGAATGAAATATCAATTAAAAACCTATGAAAGTCTAGAACAAATTACATAGGCGTGTTCTAATCCAATATTTTCTTGAAAGTCAGATCCTGGCAACAAATCACATTTTTCTTTCAAAAGCACATTTAGATTATAACTTTTAATTTCTTCTTTTAAACCTCAAAATTTTAAATTATGATCCCTGTTTTGGATTTTTAACACATCTTTTATCTTCTACAATCTGCATTTGACCATGTAAACCTCTAATTTCTCTTTGATTTTGGGATCACTCTGTTTTAGATTTATTAAAATGATCAGTAATGATTTTCTGCTTTTCCTGGATAGATTTAAACCTGTTCGTTTTTGTCAACATAGATGTCATTTCCAATAGATAAGAAAACTTATTTTCTACTTGATTCAACCTAAATGGGCCCAATTTCATCTATCTCTGCACCTACCTTCTGCTCAAATGTTGTAAACTGTGTATGAAGTATTTGTTCTAGAGTTTCCATCACAGAGAGAGCACCTTTGTCTTCTAATGTAATTTTTTTTTGTAATGCCTTGTGGATATCCTAATGCACACTATGTTACAAGAGACCCCTAAAGTATTAATTTTGATTACAATATTCTAAATTAAAAATAATGCTATCTGCAACCTTACTTGTATGGATATACTAACCTAAATTTTAAGCTATACTGTCACCTATCTTATGCCATCTTCAACTATTTTAAATAATATACAGAATAATATACAGAAATCACCAGCTCTAAACATATTTCATACAAATATTTCAGTGCATCATAATAACAACTTAGAATTAAAGAATTAAAGCAACAACGATACTTTCAAAATAATTTAAACTGTTATGATCACTGACAGTCCTTACTCTTGGGAATAGGCTCCTCCCTCTGGAACAGGGTCGGTTTCCTCAGATCAATCCAGGAAGGAGAGGGGCCTGTCCCCTGGGAACATCCCAGTCGTCTCCAAGCTGTGCATCCCCTAACATCACACTAAGGAAAGGAAAAAACACTTCTCCCCACCATAGTGAAACTTAATTTTCGGGGCAACCAGCCTTGTAACTTTATGCCCTTCCAGCGAGTGTAGACCAAGGTTGAAACCTTCTGTCGCTCTCTCACCCAATTAACTCACAATTTTTTGTTTTAGTGTCTCAGAGAAACTTCATAAATGTTCCTCCAAAATAACCTCCAGAAGCTGCCCCAAAAAACTGGGTGGGTAAGACTGCCCCACTCCCGGACCACCGAGAAGGAAACTTCACGGTAAGTGAATACAAATCTTCCATTGTCCGGTGGTCCTGGGAGTGGGGCAGTCCTTACTCTTGGGACATAAAATAGCAGTGTGCCCCAGGGTGGGAAATCCGTCTTCTGGTTATAGAGTGTGCTGCAGCACACCCCAAAGAAAGGCCGCCACAGCCAAGGTCAGCTTCTCTACTCTATAGCACTCTACTCTATAGAGTGCACAGACTTCCAGGTGGCCACCGTACCTACCGTCTCCAAGGATGGGAAATGATCTGCAAGCTGCTGACGTAGCAGCCCCCCACAGAGAATATGCTGCAACACCTTTTGGTGGATTCAGCTTCTGAGCCTTGCATGCAACAATGATGTCACCCCTAAAACCGCTTACTCAAGGTAAAAGGCAATACCAGTTGACATAAGGAAAATATCCTAAAGGAAACAAATAGCGTATCTGAATCATGCCACTACTTGGCCTGTCAATGTAAAAAACTGAATACCCTACATATATCTAGGCAATGCCATTCCCTTTCCTTGTCATGCCTATAATTGGGACAAAGGAAGGTAAGACAATGATCTCTGACCTGTGAAGGAACTGGATTAACCTTGGGAATGAAGGCTTGATCCGAACGTAACATCGCCCTATCATTGTGGAAGACATGAAGTTCCCTGTCAACTGACAGGATCCTCAGTTCAGATGCTCGCCTAGTTAATATTATGTCTGCTAAAAACAAGGTCTTGAATGTTAATTCCTTAAGACTCCATGGGTTCAAAGGTTTTCTACACAATGCTCTCAGGACCCTATGTAGGTT